TTTTTTTTTGAGTAAGCTCACTGCCTAGAATTCATTGTTTTTAGTAGCCTGAAATACTGAAGGTAACAGAAAAAGTTACTGTTATATTAGACCCAATTCAGCTTCCAAATTCTACATTATTAAGACATGTCCTCTGGTTAAACARAAAGACTCCAGAGGTTATTTTTCAGACTCCCTCTCTTACGTGGCTGCTGAACCTCAGCTAAAAAGGGACCATTTCAGCYTTTGAACTCTGCACCACTAAGCACACACCGCCTCCAGCCCACCAGGGGCTTCAAATCCAAGCTTTCCGTTTACTGTTTTTCATTTTCTGGAAAAATACAAGTAAAAACTCAAGCAGCTACATGCTCCTATTACCCAACAGACAGCACAGGCAATATGATGCCAAAGGAAATTTTCCACACAAAGTATTTTATTATCCACACCAGTTTCTAGACTGTTTCTATCTTGGGAAAGCCTTTCAGTACCACCACCATACACAAACGGGGCCAAGGGTTGTAAATGGTTTGAAAAGGAGCTATCAATTTTCACCTAGACATCAAGAAGAAGCAATGTGCATCCTGGATGGAAAAAATGACTTAGTGTATCACCTTCAGCTGGGATCAGCAGTAACCCAGAGCACAGCTTTCCTGAGGGGTGCAGCSAGGGTGTTATATCCATTAATGAATGTTGGATAACGAGATGATGAGCATCACAGAAAAGCCACATGAATAGGTAATCAAACTTGTTAATGCAATTTAGCAGTTCCAGTCCAGCAAGAGCCACAGCAACAGGRTATCACCAATAGAATTCAGCAGTTTGAGGGAGGCTGGGGAGTGAATGAGGCTCRGGAATTATTTGAAGTCACAGGGATGTCACGCCTCCAGAGCAGCACGACCGCGTTAACTTCGCTGCCCTCTCCAAACRCAGCACGCTATTTATGAGCACTAAATACGTGCTACACCACCCTGCTCTCCTCAGCTTCTCCAAGACTCTTCCTCATCTCGGGTGATTTAAACAGTGGGTGAGAAAAGGAAGGAGGAGGTGTAAGACACTAATCTTCGTGACAAATGACTATTTGCAGAACAGTGTGTTATTACAGCCGCATTTAACATCTAAATATATTCAACACACCGTGATGCTCCCAAGCTGACTAAACAGAGAGCTGGAGGTTAAGATAACTGGAAACACCAGCAACTCTTTCCTATTAGCCCTAACCCTTTTCAGAAGYTGGTCATTGTACAGAAAGGGCAATGGGTCCTGCAGCCCAGAAAAATAAATATAAAGAAAAACCAAAACCCCACCTGTTTTACATCCACAGTGCTCAGACATTGAGAGGAACTGATGACTGCAAGAGGCTTTGCTGATCCCCAGTGCAGGGCAGTTTCCAGCCAGAACCTTTCCCTGTGTACACATTCTGACAGCAGCCCCAAATCCTGACAAATCCTGGGCCAAAGGACCTACAATTATTTGAAACGCCTTTTTCTCTCTCTGCTTTATTACAGCGAGAGATAAATGTGTTTGAATTTTTACACGCAGTTGTGAGTAATAGGCTGGAAAGGGCAGATTGGTTCTTGCAGCCCTCTCCCCATAGCCCGAGGTACAGAACAACCAAATATTCAGGAGCAATAGCAATCTGGATGCTTTGTCAAATGGAGTGAAGTATAAATCTAATTTTCTAAACAAAGCAGACAACCTGGCACTGAAATCAGCTTACCACTTTGCACCTCTCTACCAGGATTAGCAGAATGCCATAATTATAATGCCCAATTTGATTTATTAGAGGAGGTTACGTAGAAAAGATGACAATTCAGTAGCATTGTGAAGAGAAGGGATGAGAGTAGAAGGAAAGCTTCAAATTGAACAGTAATTTCTAARCAACATTTCAATATAATTAGCATTAATTACAGCAAGCTATCCAAATTAGTTATAAACCTATGTTTAATAATCCTGAGATGCAAAAATCATCCCCCAAATTCCAGCAAACTTAATATTACAGCCAATTTGTCTAGACAGCTTGGCAGGAAATGCCAGAATTCTAGGTGTGAACTTTGTGGTTACTAAAAAAAAGGAAAAATTATTGAACTTGTCTGTATCATTTGCATAATTAGTTTGAACTAAGAACAGCCTAGTTTATGTAGCTTAGGTTTTGCTGCTGCTTTCATCAACCTTACAGACCTCCAGACCTGTCTGGTTTTCACAACTGTATCAGCCAGGATAATAGCAGGTATTTTRAAAACCTCCCTTTCCAACAAGAGATGAATTCCAAGTGTGACTTCTTTAAAGAGGCACAGTGTATKAATGAGCCACTCATCACAGGTTTTATTTTATACTCTTTGTGCAAGCTCCTCACTCGTTTTAAGAGTTTGTTACTTATCCTTACAGGTAAAAAAAAAARAGATTAAACAATGAAAGTTGAACCTAGGTTTTTATGAATGTGGCAGCAAATTCCCTCTTTAATCACTGATGGCAGCCAAATACTAGCCAGAAGAAATAGATAACCATGTCCTCATATTTCAAAGCTGAAATACCAATAAACTAAGTATTTGGTAAACTAAGGCAGCAGAGGATGAGAGAAATTGGAGTCTGCCAGGGTAACAAAATCTCTTACCCAGAGGCTTCTATGGAATTGTCACAAAATCCCTAGTGGACACAACCATGTGAAGCTAAGTTTTAAACTTTTAGTAGAAGATATCATTATTAACAACCTTTTCCTCCTGCAGGAAGAGGGAATCTCTTCACCGTCTCACACATCCACAACTATGCAAATCCCCATCATGCATTGAATTTCCTGCAGTGGAATTTTACACCTGAAGAAAACAACTTTAACCAGACCATGAGAATTTCTAACTTAAAACATGATRAGCCCTTCTAAACCAGTATACTGAAACACCATCCCAAAAGACTGTAAGTGGTGGAACAGTTACAGGGGAGGGTTACATCAGATAACCTTCACCATCATCTTAAATCCTAAAATATTGCAAGCCTGAAAAAACATTTCCAGTAACTGGACAATTCAATCTTTGGCTGTCTGGCACACACACAGGATTAGTTTCAYGGAACAGAAGGTGTGCTTGGGTTAAACAGCTCTTTTTTTTCTGCTGGAGAAACCAAGAACAAACCCCACTTTTTCATCGTAGTGTGCTTCTTAGCTCGGAACAAATGCTGGGAGGTCAAGCACACTGTGTTTCCACTGGCTGCCACTTGTCACCTTGTTAAGGGACAACTGGGAAAGTGTCCATGGAGAGATGCTGCTGTGCCACGGGACTGCCAACCCATGAATGCACCCTGAGTCACTAACAAATCTCCCTGCTGAGCAGCAGCTAAGTGATAAAGAGCCTGCCAGCCACAGTGTCCTTTCCTTTGTCACCTGCCCCTCTGTACAAACCCTGGCTCCAACASGAGTCTCCAGAATCACCCCTTCTGGCATGACAACTCTTAATTCATTCATGAGCTACCACATTTTAGAAGGGCACAGAGAAAAGACTGCCCAGGGCACAACTTCCTCCAAAATTACTTTCCACTTCTAAGATACCTGAATGGTCTCTCCTCCACAATGTACCATTTTGAGGGTGAGTAAAACTTAATTAACAAGATGTATATACCCATGTTTGCAGCTTCCAGGTGCACACTGCCCAGCACACATTCTCCAAGGGAGCTTATGACCCGATTGATCATTTCTATTTGTGTCCAAGACCAAAAGAGCCACCAATCTATGGTATGAATCACTGCACCACCCCAAAAATGCAGGACACGAGGGAGGTCTGCTCCTTCCTCCCTATATTTCTCAGTACACCAGGCTTCCACTTCAGCTTAGGGAACCTACCCTCAGCACAGCATTTGTGCACTTGGCCACRAGCCTTCTAGAAGGCATCATTTTCACCAGCACAAGTCACCAGAGAAGCTGTTTATATTGACAACCTCCCCTACCAGCAAGCACAACATTTCACAGGGGCCATTGGCACCAGAGAGTCGCTTCAGAGGAGAAGGAATTTCCCTACCTGTTTGGATAGCTTCAAGGGGAGTTTCTTCTTCATCCTTTCCTTGCCTCTTTCCGCCTCTCTCTCCGAGCTCCCCGCATCATTGTTATGGCCATTTTCACTTGGCTCAGCAGATACACAGTTTTCAGATTCTCTAGGTTTCTTGCCTGGATGCCTCTCCCATTTCTCCTTCCGCTCCTGGGGCTTTAGTGACATGTCCTTCTGTAAAGGAGATAAAAAAAAATAGAATGTGAGTTCTTTAGGTTCTTTGAGGCTACCTGTAAGCATCAAGCTGTATACATATTGAATAAAAACACAAACAAAACTGTACGTTTCTTCCAGAGATGAATAATTAGGCATGCACAATGCAAACAGCAATTTTAGATTAGATTRGGATGAATACTCTCCAGGCTATGTGTTTGATTAATTTCAGTGATGCTGGAACTGGTTATGAAAATGAGTTCAGATTAATTCAGAAAGCGTACGTCAGCAGCACGTGAACAAACCGGCATCCTGAAGGGAAGCCTTAAACCGTTCARCTGAAACAGAGGTGGGTTTTATTTCGTTTCTGATCTCAGAACGCAACACATCAGACCCCCTTTGGGGCTGACAGCCTCTGATTCACAGCAGCATTCATATGGAGAAAGGCACTTCTAAAGCCCTAGCACGCATTCCCTGAGCCCGAGAGATCAATGGGATCCAAACACACAACAGAGGTTGAACACTTCAGAGTGTGAAGAGTCTGCCCTGAACCTGGAACACACAATCTRAGCACAGCTTAAAAGAGGCTATGTCATGTCATGATGATTAACATTGCAAGTGAGATCAGAGCAGGGAATTACTCCTGCTACCCCTGGCATCTCTGAGGACTGAAAGCTGAACTCCCAGTGACAATGTACCAAAGTCTCTTCCTACAGACACCACGTGGAAAAGGAGTTGAAGAAATAATATGCCAAATCACTATGACATTAGGTTACTACAGCTAGATAAATTTTTCCCTTATGTCTTTTATGAACTGCTCAAGGATAAAAACTGAATTCTTGTGGGAATGTTTTGCAAACATCTATTCCAATAATTTTTTATGTGAGGTAAATATATCAAGAGTAGAAAATACCTTAAAAGCACTGTTTACTATGCCAACATTTGTAAACTTTAGCCATAGATTTTTTTTTAACTTTTCACTTTTGACTCAAGCAGTTACATCATAGATATTGGAATCCTACAAGAATGGAGATCACARCACAACTGCCCACATCAACACACACACCTTCAGTACTGCAAAAGAGCTCAGAAAAATCATTAGCTCCCTAGTCTCGCAAAAACTGAAGCCCAACAAAAAAAGAAAATTAGGAACTGGAATGAAATGCCCTGCTGATTGCTCCAGATTACTTCCTCCCCCTCTCCTTTAATTAGTGAATTGACTGCCTCAGCGTGCAACATGCTGATTCCACTCCAAATCACTCACTTGTTTAAAGTCACCCTTCCCTGGGAAGCGAGATGATGCTCTGGCRCTTTAGGGTCACAGAGAATTGRAATTAGAGCCACAGCAATAAAATAYTTRTAACTGTTTCCAACTCCAGCCCAGGGTCCCAGACWATCAGCCAGCACCCAACCTCTGCACACCTCACACAGGGCTCCTGTGGGGCTGGAGGCTGCTCTTAGAGCACACACAGACACAGAAAGTTCCAAAACCCCCAAAGATACAGCCCTTCCACCAAAATGAAAATAACTGTCTTGGAGGTGCAGAACACACCAGAACACAGCTCAGATTGCCAAGGCCATAACTAGTGAAAGAGCAAGGAAAATACATGTTTGGCATTATTCTCCATGAATGATWAAACAAGGAATATAAATTAGTGTTTAGTGCCGCTACAGTGCTGCTGAACACTATAAATTAGTGTTTAGCTGTTCAGTTTGGTTTTTAGTTTAAAGATAACACTTTAAAGCAGGAGTTCAAGATGCCAATTAAAGAAGGTCATATTGTATTGTTTTACTGGGAAGCTACTGAGATAAAAATCAAAATGCTAATCTTCAGTAATTAATCAAAAACCGGTAACATGGAAATGACATCTGCTAACTGATATTCAGCAAAGCATTAGAAACAGAAATCACCACAAACGTTCACTTGTTCATAAAGCCAGATGCTGCTTGTGACAGGTGCTTGGAAGATGCTGCATGAGGTGACAAAGACCCCTGATGGGGGAGAAAGGAGACTGGGACAGGGAATGCCACCACTTGAGAGCACCAGAAAGTCACCCACTTCTGGCTTGAGGTGCAATATTCACTTCTAAGGAAGCCTTCAAAGCCAGCAAGTGACATTTTGGTTTAAACTCTATGTGGTTTCACAAACTCTTTGTGATTTGGCCTCTGTTAATGCTTAAGGGAAACTCTTCCTTCAGTAGCCACAGCACATTCACTGCAGGCTTTCATTCCTTTCACCACAGAACTGGTCTGGAAAGCTGTGTTTTGCTCCTCACTGAATCCTACAAAATTCCCTACTTCGAAATGCAGCCTTTTATCCCTATTTTGTCTGGAGATTTAAGGTTTGCCTCATCACTGAGCCACCAGCAAAATTAATTCAGGGAATACAGTTATAGCTGGATCAAAGCCAAGGAAATAATTCATTCACTTGTAGTGCCACTTGCATCCAAGAATCTCAAGCACTTTCCAAACAGCTGTGAATTAAAACCCAAGGCCAGGGCTGCTCCAGCCTGCAGTGGGGGACAGCAGAGGGGACCTGGGGCAGCCATGGGGACAAAGCCACATTTGTCAGCTTGTGACAAGCAAACCCCCTCCCCTATCCGTGCTTCAGCAGAGGACAGAGCTCTCAGGACATGTTGTGGGGAGGCAGGGCACTGAACTCAGCGTGTCCTTGCTGACAGAGGGTGACAGCAGGGTGTTTCTGCAGACCTCYGCAGCCTCAGGCAGGGAGCAGGAGGGGGCTAATGGGGTTTCTGTTCTTGCCTCCTTTGTTTCCTTTCTATGTGTTCTGCTGAAAGAGCCTTCCAGAGACTGCTCTTTTACTAAAGTTTATGACCTCCAAGTTGGGGACCTCACTTAGCACAAGAGSTTACTATTTTGGGATGTGCATCTGTGCTCGCGCACAGGCAATTGCTGGAAAATGTAAGCCCATCCAGAATACACAGTACATCACAAGAGTGGATCTTTATTGATGKACCTTGACTGATTTCAATCCCAAAATCCCAGCCGGCAGGTGAGACTGGCCTCCTGACAAACTGCCCCACTGGAGCCTTCCCCCAGGCAAACCCAGAGCAGCAGATTCTTTCACCCTTTGCACATCACATAAAACCTACAGATTCATACAGTGACAGCATCTAAAGACAGACCCTAAAGGCAAAAGGTCTCCACATCACCTGGGTGGTTTCTGCCCAGCCCAGGAGTCTGCAGAGCTGACCACCTTTGCTGTCACAAWYCMAGCAAATCCCATTCTCCAGGGAARGCTGGTGGATCCAGGCYCATTCTCTCTTCTCATTCCAGAAAGGAAATTGCTAAATCAGAATGTAAAAAWCTATTTTGTTCCTTACTACTCACTGCTTCCAGGACTGTCTCCTACCTGTCCTCACGTTGGAATTTCTCTCACACCTTCCAGGGCAGGCTCCAGCCTCTCCATCTGCAGCCCCTCGCCTGTCTGGGCTGCAGACGGAGAGCAGATGGTTCTAATTGGCTGCACCACTACAGATAAGGAAGAATTAGGCCTTTCTTCAGAGCCTCTTTCCTGGCAGTTACTCCATGAAACATACAGATTCTATCTCCCTATTTGTTTATTTGGATGTACAGACACCAGAGAACATTCCATCTGAAAATGGGATTGTGGTACCTCCTCCCCCAGCTCTCCCTGAAATATTTCATGCACCAGCAGCTGTGAGGATCCACWGATGAGGGCCCTGGCAAAGGCTGGCAACCCAAGGCCCCGCAACAAGATTTTGGGAGCCCACAATACAAAGCTTTGTGTTTTTTTTTCCATCACTATTCAGCCCGAGCTAGTTAAAGTTATGCAACTGCACCTCTGCTTGCAGCAGATCTGGCAGGAACCCTTAATCACTTGGAACGCTCCTTCCCAAAAAGCMATTTTTCTTCTGTCACCAGGCACAGCTGCACTCTCAAAGACACTCAAGGTACACACTGCTCAGTTTGTCAGTAAAGCTGGGAATAACGTGGGTGCACAGCCCTCAGCTCTGCAGTGAGACTGTTCTTACCCCTAAAATGCCACAGCAAGAGACTTGTGCACAATGGAGCCCAGGCTGCCTGTTTGATCAGGAAATAATGATCAGCCCTGGAGGAGCCTGGCACAAGCTCACATCCCAMAGCCATGGGCTGGCTGCAGTTATCACTGCCTGTTTGTTCAGCCCAGCTCAAACTCAGCCCTAATCCCCCGAATTTACACAGCTCTGAGATCTCAGAAAGCGTGCAGGGGAAGGCTGTGGTTGTAAAAACCTTTCATACACGAGGAACACTTAAARAACCTGAAGAAAACATCCAAAACCCACAGAGCTAGGCAAAAACTCTTGAGTATGCTGCTGGAATGCAGAGGGTAAAAATAACACCTACAGAYAATAAAATAACTATGCTTAGCCCTCCAGCATCAGTTGGAAATGCAGCCCTGGTGYGAAATCAAGTCCATTACAATCCCCCATCCCCAGGGCCCATCGGACACTGCTCAGCTCAGCCAAGGACTGGTTACACTCCATTCCTGCCAGACTGCCTCTGCCCACTGCAGGATTACATGGGCTGATTTCCCAGAAGGGAAACAGCCTCCAGCTCCTCTCTGCAGAGCAGCGCTTATTCCTTAAGTTGGGGAATGCGAAATATCCTCCCGAACACCAAACAGGAGAAGGATCCACACAAAGGAAATAATAAACACGGCTGGCTCTCAAACTGACCCTGCTTGTCCCCTGTTTCTGCCTCCAGCTTCTCTCAAAATATTGCARTGGAAAAGCCCCTGAGGATCTGAGCACCATCTATCCTTATATCAACTTTATCATGCAATTTAGCAGTAGGGTTGTCAAATGTGTTTGTTTAATACTTCAGGGGGAGATCCTGGCTCAGAAAGGGCCTGAAACTGATTTATTTTTAATTTTTAAATATTCCTATTGACCTGATACTCAGTTTATGGAACAGCACCACAGAAACAATTGCTGACAATGTTCTCGAGGTTTCTAAGTAGAAAAAGCACATTACAAATACAGACAGGAACACTCCTA